TATTTAGAGTCGGGTCAAGGTCGGATCAAGGGCAGGGCAAGTGAACCAGTTTTTTTGCACACCCCTGCTGTTAATACAACTTTTAGAATCAAACATACTAATAGTGGATACATGTACGGGTTGTCATTTGTTAGTAGATATTGAGAATAATCAAAAGCGGTTATCCTTGAGATGTGGGGATGCTTGGATTGTAGATATATATCGGACATATTGTGGATGTTGGGCATGCGACTTATATTTTAGAAGAAAGGTTGATGATAATAAAGTGAGTGGTTAAGTCTCACGAGATAGAAATGGACTGTGAAAGGATCTATAAACTTAGTGTCTTAACATTTTGGATTGAGATGTGCTATTAATTGTGTCCACTTATTTCAGGATTATTGCTTAATCCATTAATGTGAGGAGTTCTTCTTACTTTGAATGCTTACTTTAGTAATAGGTTTCTTGAATTCAAACTTTCAAAGGTTCCAATTACTCTAGTAATATGTGCTTGACTTAGGGAGATGTTTTAGAATTCTTAAACATGTCAAAACCATTTTTAATGAGTTTTTTAAATCATTTTTAAGAATTAAAACACCATAGGATATACATTTGTTAAAAAAAAATTTAACTCCTTATTCTATCCATTTCCAAATATGATTACGTAATAGCATTTATGCGCATCTTACTTATGTCAAATACCCAACAAATTATTGGATATGACTCATACTTCGTATTTAGAAGATAACTCTTGTTGGTGGGGCGCAAAAAAGCCAATGGGGGACCAAAGAGGCATGATTCTTTTATAGGCCTCTGCCTTAATTTATTTTTTCTTTTTCTTAGTAATTTTATTTCTCCTCTTCCTTTTTCTGTCCATCCAGAATATATGTAAGACTAGAGTTTCTAATCCTATATATATTCTCTTTGTAAACTGAGTGCTATAACAAGTGCAGTAAGGATAACGTAGTACATAGTGCTAGACTTAACCCACGTTAGGTGAATTAGGATAAATTTGTGTCTTAACTTTTCTTTCTTTTCTCTCTTTTATATTTTGTGATCGTATGTGTGTGATTGTTTCGATTCCAACACAAATATCTCATTTGATAATTCGTACAAGCTAAGGGTTCTTTTTTTCTCATATTGCTGGAAAAAAATCTATCTTATATCACTCATTATAACTATGTACTCCTGGGAGTACATAGTTATAATATTAAAATTATTATTTTTCTCACACTATGTTAGCCGACAATTTCTGAAAAGAAAAAAAAAATAACTTTAATATTATAATGGATAACATAAGATAACATTTTTTTTCAGTAACATAAGAATAAGATTTCCCTCCGTACGAAGATCAAAAGCCATTGCCCAATCAAAGTAAGAACTAAAAGCATTTTCTTTTCCCTTACCTACTTAATCCACAAGATAATTGGATAACTTTGTACGATCGAAGCTCTAAAATGAATATATATTGTGCAACTAATGACATTCTAAAATTTTTAATAGATGATCCGTAATGTTTCACGGCTTGTTACCTAGAACCGTGTAACTAGTTCTCTAATTAATGTTATCATCTAGCAATGTTTTAATCTCATTTATCGCTTAGCGTGGGGCCAAATCAAAAGTCAATTGAATAGAGCAAATCAATGCGATTAAAATAGTAGTTGTGGGTCTCTCATGACGATCATTAGGAAAGACTAAAGACAGAAAAGTGAAGACCACTTGTCTTAATTTGTTTACGAAAGAAATTGGTTGGTTTGCGTCGAGAGGGAAACCGAAGAAAAGGCTCAAAGGTCCTAGCTAGTAGCTATAGCTAGCTACGGCCTATACGGCATGCATTCCAATCATTTTCCCAGCAGACCTCTGAACCGACATCAAGCCTAGCTTCTGTCCTTTTTACAATATTAATTTGTATATTTTTTATTTTATTTTTTCTCAATAATATGTTCTGCATTCTGAAATTATTATGCACTTCGATGCTTATGTTTTTAGAACTTTTTTTTCTGGATATTAATATTTTTACATTATTTTAATTAAAAAACAAAATAAAAAACATTGTAAACTGTATTTTTTATTGTAAAGGAAATGATGGATAAATAATAATATGCATATTTTTATATATTTTGAACTATTTGTTGGTAACTATTTATATTGGTTGAAATGTTTATAATTATTTAGTTAATAAATATTTAAAAGGTCATAAAAATTCTGCACTGAAACAAGTTTAAACACCGAAACATCTCATTATTGTGTAAACAAATAATTACGGTCTATTTAGATATTATACTTAGAATCTTGTCTTTTATGAGGAATTTAAAGGATGCATTCGTATATCTTGATATATTTAAAAGAATTAATTTCCTTAAGATGGATTTACAGATCAAACTCCAGTTATACTCCACTAATTAATTAGCTGAGGAATTTAATTCCCCCCCCCCCCCACTGATTTATCAATTAATTATCCCATTATTCTGATTCGAATAAAATGTGACCACAAATTTCGTTTTGCTATTGAAATCTTAAAAAATTATAAATATAAAGACTATTATAACCCTGAAATAAATTAAAATTACAAAAACACCATGATTTTCGCCCCAAAACGACGTCGTATTGGCTTACTGTAGAAAACTTATCTGCAGTAACTGCAGAAAAAACGAACCCTTAAATCAATTATTATTGATCAATTTATCGTTCCTAATATATTGTTCGATAATGAAAGGAGCTCAATTGAAAGAATAAAGCGATAGGAAAAGTATTTCTCGAGTCATTGGAGATAATCATTGGAGATAAAGTTATTTCCACTAAGCTCAAAACGAAGTAGTTTTGGGTTATAAGATTAAAAAATTATAATAATAAAGACTACGATAACCCCGCAATATATTATAATTACAAAAATACTTTGATTTCCGCCCCAAAACGACGTCATTTTGAGTTCACTGAAGATAACTTTATCTCCGGTGACTAGAGAAATCATTTACCCTAAAACAATTCAACGAAAAGATATTGAAAACGACGTCATTTTGAGTTCACTGAAGATAACTTTATCTCCGGTGACTAGAGAAATCATTTACCCTAAAACAATTCAACGAAAAGATATTGAACTTGATTTTGTCAGTAACCCTTTAGGGAAATAATCTATTTACAAATTTTTTTTATAAATTTTTACAAATTACATTATGTATTCCTGAAAGTATATAGTGTAACTTAATGTACTTTCAAGAGTACATGATGTAGTTTGTAAACAAAAAATTTGTAAATATAACCCTCCCAACTCTTTATTGATAGGTTATTTTAAGGGTTTTATGACTCTCCTGTTATAGGGGAGTCAGTATTATAAGATACATCCAAAAAAATGCAATACTTTGTTTTTTTTGTAACTTGAGTGGGCCCCACATATTTTTTTATCTCAACAATAAGAGAACTTTTTTCAGCAGACTCAACAACATACGTGCTACCACTTTTTTTTTCCTTCTCTCTCCTTGGTGGATCCCATTTTTGATTGAGTCTCTAAGAAAAAAATTTCCTTTTCCTTGTCACATAAGAGTCATGTTCCCTTATTTTAAATAGGGAAAAAGATATCTCATGTTACATGAGAATTCTAATCTCATGTCATAAATACAATAAGTGTGAGACTCACATATTTTTTTTTTAAAAAAAGTGACACATCTTTTTATGGTGTCTATAGAAATGGGTTATTTTCTCCTATCACATTAGAAAAACAAACTCCTTTTAAATATCACTATAAACTCATCATGTTAAAGCTTCAAGCTAGTAAAATGTTCTCGCCATTAAACGAAACAAATTTTAAACTTTTGCATCCTAAAAATAATATCATGGGTAAGGATTATTTAACATCGATGCAAGTTACATTTTCAATATTAATTTTGGATCCTATTTATATTTAACAGTTCTAATTTATTGAATATTTAAACCGTTAAATATAAGTAAATCAATAAATAAAATTTGATGTAAGATTTCTTATTCTTACATTCGTATAAAATATCCTCAAGCTAATATCATATATCATCAAAACTGCAAACTTTCTGTTTCATCTCTTACTATTACCCCTACGAAGCACCGACACTTAAAAAACCCTGACGTGTCGTGTCCGACACTTTGTGACACTCTCCGACACTCCCCGACACTCCAACACGCGTTATAAAATTTCAAAAAAGGTTCAAAGATTGCGTTGCGTTGAGTTTTTAGTTCCAACTATTAAATTTGTTGGATTATGATTATCATTTTATTGAGTTTAATATAAATATCTGAGATATCTTATGTTTCTTTGCAAAATTGATGAATATTATAAGTTTAGTTTCATTTTTTGTTAAATTATTGAATATTAAATATAATATACACTACATAAATTAAAAATAATATTTAATATTAAAACGTGTCCTAACGTGTCGAAATCTAATATTTTTTAGATTTAACGTGTCGGAGTGTCGTGTCGTGTCGTGTAACATGTCCCGTGTCGGTATCGGTGCTACATAGATTATCCCTACATGTGTCACTGATCTTTGGGCCACATACCCTTTGACTTCGAGTAGATTTTTGGTGTATCAAAAATAAAAAAGATATGGAAAAAAATAATTATAAAGATAAGAATAGTAAAAATCTCTTATTTTTTTCATATTTGATAAAGTGATCGATATCCGTAGAAAAATGTTATATTAATAATTTTTTTTACAAACTTACAAACTAAATATGGTAAAATATAATGTAATTTATAAAAATTTATAAATAATTTTTTTTTGAATATAATATTTTCGATATATATTTTCTTTGACTTCGACCACCATTGTCAGAAACCTACAACTCTTTATATATCTGTTTCCTATCAAAAACTACCTTTGATTTTCTATGCCCCTTTATAAGGTTATTAATTAATTAATCAACTTGTGCGGCTAATTAATATCCCTCTATTTTTTATTTGACCTTTCTATATATCTTGACCTTTTTCTTTCCAAACAATTCATCACATCCTTTGCTGCTTCTGTCTTCTTTCTCCTTTTCATGTATCTCTCCTTCTGTTTCTTCACTTTACCTTTTTCCTCTCCTTTTTTGATTAGAGATCTTCTTCCTCGTCTTCTTCATCACCATCTCTTTCACCCTCTTCATTATTTCCTTCTCTTTTCACATCTTCTATGGCGGTTTTACCTAGAAGCTTCTCCAGCTTGGAATTGACCATGTCTGTCCCAGGCTTTCCTTCTTCACCAACTCTTCTTCCATCATCATCTGGTAAGCACTATAGACAAGATTCTTTCTTTGTCGATCTTTTGTACCTTTTTTACTACTATATATCTTTATCATCATGATCATCATCTTTGTCATATTTGATCATCCTTTTCTATATCATCTTCCTTCTCTTTTGTGTTCTAGCTGTTTAATTTTGTGGTAAATTCTATTAATCTTGTTTTTTAACTTCTACAATTGTTTCCATGATAAAAGTGACCCCTTTGTTAAATATATTATTTCTTAATTAAAATTGAAATTACGATCACATAAACACCAGGGTTCTGTTCACTCTCTCTTTTTTTCTGAATGTTTGGTGGTTAAGGAGAAGTGATATATCTAGTCGTTAAATAATATACTGGATCATATATAGAAGATGAATATTTGTTGTCCATGAAATTATTTTTTGAGTACATGTATAAATATATTAGGTTATTAAGGCATGGTTTGGTATTACAGTGAAAGAGTTGGACATAAACCAAGTACCCTTAGAAGTAGCATGGATGGCATCAAACATGGAAGACGAAGAAGAAAGCAGCAATGGAGACCCTCCCCGCAAGAAACTTCGTCTCACAAAGGAACAGTCCCGTCTCCTTGAAGAAAGCTTTAGACAAAATCACACTTTAAACCCAGTAATCCTCCAATATCTCTCTCTCTCTCTCTCTTTCCATATATATATGTACACACACAAAACACACCCCAATACGTGCGACTTGTTATTCATTTTATCTTATCATTTAATATGAGAGATGCTTGCTAGCTATACTTGTACTGATATACGGTTTTTGATATCTTGGTTATGCAGAAGCAGAAAGAGTGTTTGGCAATGCAGCTGAAGCTCCGACAGAGGCAGGTGGAGGTGTGGTTTCAGAACCGTAGGGCCAGGTATGGATAATACTAAGTGATGGAATGTAATTTGTTTTGTCCTTTATGACTTGAACATATGATTTCATATTATAAGCACATATATATTCTGCGGGTACAGACAAATATCAAATGTTGACAGAATGATGATAATTATGATATTAGCTAGCTTCGTCAATATGAATATGATTCTATACCCCTTATTAATTCGTACTATCTCTTAATAAAAGTTGAAAGCAATAATTTGCTGTTACACTTCTTGACACATAATTCCCCTTTAATAATAGGTCATACGGTGACTTGTCAGTGTCTGAAATATAGCTTTTCAATTTGGATCTTACAATAGCTGAAGCCACTCTATTTAAAACTCGAGAAATAAATGTGTGAAAGGAACTAAATGTACCAACAATAAAACTAAAGAAAACAAAAATTGGTTGAGCAAACAATCTTACTTTATTACCCACAATGTTGTTGCACGTTTGGTTTTGATTATCTTGAGAGAAATATTTGTATTTTCTTTAAAGCTATCCTAGAAATTTTTTAATCGTGAATGTTTTTGAATACAAAATATAGTAAATTTAAACATAGAGTTAGTACAAACTTGTATGATTTATTATTCATAACATTCTTTATTTTCTATTAAAAAAAGTCTTATAACACATGATGTAGACAAAAATTGGTCCCAAATTATAATTTTGAAGTTTTAAATGAAGAAACCAAATGTACTGTTAAAGTGTTAATAGAAGTTACGAAATGTATCTTAAAACCGAAATTTGGGAATAATATTAGAAATGATACTAAGACATAACAATGACATGACAATAGCTGGCTGTGCAAATTTATGAACAATTAATGATAAACCATAATTTCATCTGTGCGGGAAAAACACAATCATTGTTGTCCAAATTAAAGTAGACAAATCGATAATGATAGCACCGAATTTGTAGAGTTTTATTTGGCCTCGTGTGCTACACTTGATCATCACTCCAATAAATGCGCCTTTGACCACTCGTTTTGGTCCTTTAGACCAACCATGCATTTGATTTTATAATGAATTCTTACTATTAAACATCATGTCTTAAATTATAAAAACGTATCCATAAAAGCAAATTAAGGGGTTACTAACTTATTCACAATTATAAAATATCATTTCATAATAATCTCAAACATGAAATTAACATATTATAATAATGCAATGAATGCATGGACAGGAGCAAGCTGAAGCAGACAGAGATGGAATGTGAGTATCTGAAGAGGTGGTTTGGGTCACTGACAGAACAGAACCGGAGGCTACAAAGGGAGGTAGAGGAACTCAGGGCTATGAAGGTGGGTCCACCCACTGTGCTATCCCCTCACAGTTGCGAGCCATTGCCAGCGTCAACCCTAACCATGTGTCCCCGCTGTGAGCGTGTCACAACCACCGTTTCCGCCGCCGACAAAGCAGCCACCGCCGCCGCCACTTTGTCGCCTAAAGTGGTGACGCCTGCCCTCCAATCCCGCCAACCTTCCGCGGCGTGTTGAACCGATTTTATTCTACTCGTGCACGGCACCTAAATGAGACACGCAATGCAAAACAAAACGTAACAAGAGTGAAGGAAAATCAGAAACATGTTTCATAGCTTTTACAAAAAGGTGTGTTGATGAGGGAGGGAAAAAAACTTTTGTTATAATATTTCTCAATGGTCAATGCATATATTTGCGCTTGAATGCTATATTGCTTGTCATTTTTCAAATATGAAAATGGCACAAAAATAACCTAATTCAAAATTTTCACAAGGCGTATATTTGAGTAGGGGGAAAAAAACATAGAGAGACGGAAAGGTACATGGATGTAATGGGATGTCTATAAAATTTGCTAGGAGCATTTTGTATATAGATTATATTTGCGTTTTTTCTTTTCCTTCTATTTTTCTTGTATTATCCTAAGAAAAGATGAAGAAGCAATTTACATACCTTTAAGGTTAGTTAATTAAACGGTTTTACTTTTATTGGTGCATAAATGTCATACATGCAATTATTATATACTTGTTTTTTATGCCAATATAATATATTTAATTTCAATTAGTTATATTAAGATTCACAACTACAAGTGGCAAAGCGGGACGTCCGCTCCGTCTGTCCTGCCATAAACCCGTCTATCGACGAGCTAGCTCGTGTCCCGTCCCACCATGAACCCGTCTACAAACAAGCTAGCTCGTCTCGTCTCACTTTTGTTAGTAGACAGATAAAGCCAGCCCATCCTATCTCGCCAAAGTTTTCTTTCTTTCCTTTTTTATTATTTAATTATAATTTTAACCTTTTTTTCAGTTTATGGTGCTGTTGCACTTTCTTTCATATATAGTTTTTTAAAATTTATTACACTAGTGCACTTTTCCATTTACTATTAATTAGATATTGTGGCACCGTCGTTTCTCAACATTAATGGTCAATTTTTTAACAATAAGAAATTATTAGGATAATAATTTTTTGCTTTACTATATGTATTTTTTTATTTTTAAATTACATCCTATTTATACGTTAAGCTCCAACAAAGAATAATTAAAAATAGAGTAAATACCCCTTTTAGTCCCAGACAAATTTCACGAAGCCCTTATTGGTCCCTGGCAATTAAAAAGGGCACTCGTGGTCCCTTAAATTTTAAAAAACAAGCCACGTTAGTCCTTTTGTTAGTTGGCATCCAACGACCAATGTAACGGTGCACACTTGGCATGTTAGTTTACTGACTCAGAATGAAATTGTCCACCGTGGAAATAAGACGATGACGTTTTGAAGATGAGTTGCATCTCCAGGGTCGTGAATGGACACTTGACGTAGCGGCGAAGGGTAACCTGACCCAACAAAGGGGGTAAATTGAGAACCCTAAATCAGTGGTAAACTAAAAATTTCCGCAAAAGCTCCGCACTTTGATGACAGCAAATTGAAGACAGTAGAAGTTATTTACTGGATTTGCTGGGGCGTAGGAGAAGATGAGTCTTTCTTCTGGCATGGGGGGCTCAAGTGGAAGTACTTCAATAGGGGTAGAACCCTGGTAAGGACTGCTGGTCGTAGGTGCAAATGTGGGAGACAAACTATTATGTATACCTCCAAAACTGAGAGAAACCCAAACATGGCATTCTTTGGGTGCCCTAATTTCAAGGTATACATGTGTAACGAGTGTTTATTTAAGTTGAAACATTTGCTCACCGTGGATTGTTATGTTGGCAGGAGAAGAAGCCATTTTCTGATTTTTTAGAAGGGTAGATGACGTATCTAATGGAAGGATGGAGCTGGAAGAAGGAATAATACACAAGGTGGAGTTGGATGTTGCTGAAATAGAATTCAAGTTGAAGTATGTGGACATGATGATGAGTGAGAAATTGCAAGTTAAGCTGAATGACCAAGGTGTGAAGATTATTGAGCAACAACTGAAGATTAATGACTAGGAAAGAAAGATGAATGAGCTACACCTGAAGATGGTTTCAGAGTTAGATAGGATGGACAAGGAAATTAGGAATGTTGGTAGGTCATCTAGGGTCTTAGTTGCTGTATGTGTAGGTTTGATCATGATGTGTATCTTGGTTGCAAGTGTGCTAATACTCAATATAAGTGTACCCAATGTATTTTTTCTTAACTGAAGTGTAATGAGTACTCAGTACTTTTTTGAGCAAATTAATAAAGAAGCTTCTATTACATGGGTTATTTTTTATTGGTTCCTATCTGTTTTTTTGTGCTTTATTTCTCTAGTCAAGCCTAAACTATATGTAAATGCCATGAACAAGCTCATGGATTATTCCTTGCATTGTGTTTGCATCATATGTTTTAGTCCCTTTTCTGTCTCCACTGCCATCTCAAGCTCATGGATTATAAGCATTGAGCTATTTTTCTGCATACTTAGGCCATCTGAATAGTGGTACCACAAACCACAGTTCATTGTATCAGTGCAATCATTGTATTAGTATAAGCATATAGTATATACTCTCTCTGACATATAATGTGAATCAGAAATTGGGAAACATCATATTTGAATACATTATATATGTTAAATGCAATCAGAAGAAGGAAGTAACCATTCATCAGAAATGTCCTTAATTTATAAATGTACATGGATGTACAGGAGTGCATTACAAAATAAAGCCAACTGAATGTTGAATAAAAAAAGGCCTCTAATACAAAATGGCCTTTGAAGCACTATTGAGTACAATTAAAAAGGGTGCAACAATCTGTTTCCAAAAAAACATTCACATAATAAGGCCTCGAAATAAATAATGGCCAGGAATTCCAAATAAAGACTTTCACATAATAAGAAACCCTTCATCAATTGGTTATGCAATACTCTCACGCCATACTTATCAGATGCTCATTTTCTTGAGGTAGGCATTGGTGGCTTAAAATCAGGTGTGCTCATGAAGGCCAATAATCTTCTTTGTGTGCCACTAGTGGCTGCTTTTATAGTTCCATTACTCAAAAATTCAGTTGCCTGTGGTGGATTTGATGGAGGTGGGATGCTACCTCTCAAGTTTCCCTCATCTGGCTGAGAACTGCTCACTGGTGCGAGGCCTCCTTGACTTAATGAGATTTCTTCTACTGATCTTGATCTTATCCTGACATTGATTGGATTTTCTGGTCTTGCTAGTCTCTTCCCTTTCTTACTAGTTGCTGGTCCCTTACATGTCTTTGCATAGTGTCCAAGCTGACCACATTTAGGACATTTTGCTGCATAGGTCCTTTTCACTTTCTTTGCACTGCTTCCTTGTTCTTAACTTGGGTCCTTTCTCCTGTGTTTCTTGGGATACCCAATTGGCCTTTTCAGTGTTGGAGGAAGAGGTTTGGGTTCATCAGATGAAGGCCAATACTTGTCTGAATTTACTGGGTTCAAGGTGTGTGCATAAGTGGCATACAAAGCATCCACTGTAAGCCATTGATGCACATAGTTTTCAGGAGGTTCATTTTTCTGACAAATGGCTGCTATTGCATTCTCACATGGCAGTCCAGTCAACTGCCATGCATTGCAGGCACAAGATTGAGTTGTTTAATTCACTCCAACCCTCTCCCCTATACCACTGACTTCATAGATATCTTGATGCAGATTGCCTGTCTAAGTAGGTGTCTATGAATTGCTGAGTACCTTTAATTGATCAAGCTTATTCTGTTGAGCAGGAGCTATTTTACCTCTAATAGTTTCTAGAACGCTTTGATATGCTGCCATCCTCCTCATAATGTAATACCTCAATTCCTTACAAAGACATATTATTGGTTTGGACTTATAACCAACAATTTTGGCATTCCAAACCTCTGCCATGTTGTTTGATATGTTGTCACATTTGGGCCAGTGACTGAAATATGCCTTGACCCAACATGAGGGATCAATGTTATCCAAATACTTCCATGCTGCTTAATTTAACCCTTTCAAACGTTGCATGGTTTTCTGGAATTGTGGAATAGTGTTGCATCTTGCACACTCCCAAACAATGCCTCTGATGGCCTTATCTTTCCACTGTTTTATAAAAATTTTCCATACATGTTGCACACAAAATCGATGATGTGCACCGGGCATAACCTCTTTCAATGTTGGAATCAAACCCTGCACACAGATACTAAACAAACAAAAAACCATGAGATAATGTTGGGCCACTGTCAAATAAACATACCACATTGAAACAAATAGGACACAATACAATACATACCTTCTGTTGATAAAAAATAAAGTTCCAACCACAGATTGCATGATTGCCAATGTCTTCTTGTAACAGAGTCAAAAACCATTTCCAGTTCTCTTTTGTTTCACTATCCACCACTGCATAAGCAATTACATAGAAGCTCTTGTTTGCATCCTCACCAACTGCACTCAACAATTGTCCTCCATAGTATCCTTTCAAAAAACAACCATCCAAACCAATTAATGGTCTACAACCAGCTTTGAACCCTCTCTTACATGCATCAAGACATATATACATTTTGAAAAATATTGGTGGGGCTTGTGGGTCAGGTTGGGGTATGACTTACATTTGACAAGTGGAGCCAAGATTGCTTCTCAAAAGCTCTCCTAGGTAGTCTATCAACTTTGCATATTGTTCCTTCTCACATCTTTCAATTCTGCCATTGGCTTTATGAAGTGCCTTGCTGACTTTCTTCAAATGGACATGGACCTTATACTCCTCTTTCATATGTTCATATGCTTCAGCCCTTGTCATGTTGGGCTGTGTCATTAACCTTTTCTCTAATTTTTTTGCAACCCAATCCTTACTTGCGCTCTTATTTTTGAATAGTCTGCAGCAAGAGTGTGAGTCATTAAATGTTTTTACTTGGAAAGAGGCCAATTTGTTGTTCCAAGCACAAAATATCATCCATTCACAGTCTTCACTACTACATTTGGCTCGTGCTATGATCTTGTCATTTTTCACCCACTTAAATTGTCTTCCTAGACTAATATTATAGTCTTTCACAACATTTTTAAATTGGTCTAAACTCACAAACTCCTTTCCAAGCTCTAAGTGGACATGACCAAATGTATTATCCTCATTAAACTTTGGAAAGACATGCCTTTCAACCTCTTCATCACCACTTGAAAGAGGAGTCTTCAACTCTTCAAAGTTATATCCACACCTATCCTCTTCAAATGACATTTGCTTCTCCTCCTCTTCCATTTTATTTTCCCATGCCTGCTCCTCAACATCCTTTTTTTTCTTCTTTTTGTCACACTGTTTTTTCCAGTAGCCTTAGGTATACACTCATACTCCTCTTCACCCTTTGTTTGGTCCTCAAAACCTGGTGGAGGAGGCTTATATGGCTCATCCTCTACACTATCATATGAGTCACTAGACAATCCA